TATAACTTAATCTTTTATGAAGTAACTTGTCACGTGCCTTAAAGTCCAGATGCAACAGATCTACTGGTTCCCTTCTATCTATTTCAGGTTGAGACTTTCTTGAAAAACTTTAATAAATTAGTAGGCACAGTATCCCTTTCATGAAGCTATTCTGACTCTGCGTGATTAGATTGTGATTTTCCAAATGTTCCGCTATTATTTTCTTAATTATTGATTCCAATACTCTTTCAACCATAAATATTAAGCTAATCGGCCTATAGTTACAAGTTTTTGCCTCCCTCTCTTTTTGAATAGGGGTGTCACATTAGCAATTTTCTAATCGTCAGATACTTCTCCAAAATCCAAGGACTTCTGGAAAATTGCAACCAATGCATCCCACTATCTTTGTAGCTACTTCTTTTAGGATCTTAGAATATAAGCTATCAGGGCCTTTATCTGCCTTTAGTCCCATTAGTTTGTCTCATACTACTTCTCTAGTGGTGGTGCTGGAGCTCTGCTGTTCACAATCTCTATAAATGATTTGGATGTGAGGAAAAAAGATGTTCAAATTTGCTGATGACAAAATTAGTTGGAAATATAAATTGCGAGGATGATGCATGCAGACTTCACAGGTACTTGAAGAGGATAAATGAAAGGGAATGAAAATGACAAATGGAATACAGCAAGATCTGTAGATGCTGGAGTCAGAGTCAATGCAGTGTGGAGCTGGAGGAACACAGCAGGGCAGGCAGCATCAGAGGAGCAGGAGCATCGACATTACGGGCTTAGACTCTTCATCAGGACTGGCTGATGTCCATTGGGGATGAGCTGGTTGCATAGGCAGGTACTGAGAAAGGAGATGTGGCAGTAATAATGGATTTGTTTCAGTATGTAGTCCAAGAGCTTCAGGGCGGAGGAGATCACTAGTGGGTTGCAGTGGGAGAGAAATCAACAAAGGTCTTCTGGAGGGAGGAGGACAACTTCTTCAAGGTGGGCATCCTTGGAAGAGGTTTTGCAGTAGGATTATAAGTCACTAACAGATAGCAAGAACTGCAGATGCTGGAGTCAGAGTCAATACAGTGTGGAGCTGGAGGAACACAGCAGGTTCAGGCAGCATCAGAGGAGCAGGAGAGCCAACGTTTTGGACCTAGACCCTTCATCAGGATTGGGATGTCCTGATGAAGGGTCCAGGCCCGAAACATCAACTCTGCTGCTCCTCTGATGTTGCCTGCCCTTCAGTCTTCCTGTAGCTGTGCTGTGCTGTGCTGTCTTCCTGTTGCCCCGTCTCTGCCTTAGAAGTATCTGGTTGCAGGATGACTAGATCTTCTCACCCAGTCAGATGCCTCATTCCCAATGGAGCAATTCAACCCTGACCCAAGCACAGTCGACTTCAGGCTCTGGCTCCAGCCCAGGTGGATTCCAGCCGTTAATGGTTTCAGCCATGTCCTGTTAGTGCCACGTTTGGCTTGGCTATGCAGAACTGTGTGTTCCTTGCCTCCCAGGAGAGAGAAGGCTTCACTGAATCTTCTTTCATCACAGCTGATTTTGGCTGGAAACTGCATGAGTAGTTTGAATAATGTTTAAACTAAGCATTCTAAATTCTTATTTTTATATTCATATATGTTTATAATATACAAACTTTAATAATAACATATCAAACTTTACTTTGATGCTTCATTACTGTTTTTGTTTTGCTGGCCTCTAGGGTCACGTTAATCAGGAGTTCTTTTATATATTTGTTCATGGGATCTTGCCCATCTCCAATTGCTCTGAGGAGGTAGGCTGGATTAAAAGGAGATCACATTGGAAAATAGTTTGTGAAACACTGCTGTAGCCGTTTGCTTCTTTTTGCATGTACACAATCCTTGTTTTGGTCTTCACACCATATCATGCCCATTAACTGCATTGAATGCTGAATTTACTTTATTGATTCTATACAAATGCGCTGGTCCTGATAATAATCAAAGGTAAACACAGGGAAAATGTTTATACCTACTTGAAGCCTAACAATTCCATCCATTTGAAATGGCCTAGACATACTTACATTTCACTACAGGTCATAAACTGCGCTACAATTAGATGATTCCTTGTCACAAAAAAATCACATCATTGGGTACTCAGTTACTCTCATCCCTGGCTATGAGCCCTGGTACAAATTGTTACAGTGCCAAGTGTGGGAGTTAAGTGAGGCTGTGAATGGTTGATAAGAGATTGTTGGATAATGAGTAAAGCCCGGTGTGCTAACCAATGTAGTGTGAATTTGTTGGTTAAGTTGTTAGACTATCATGATGTTCAGACATATTGATTGATCTTGTGAGATCACTAAACTTCTTTTGACATTGTATACTTTTCAGGGCTAAACTGATGGTATTGACTGTATTTGTTACCTACTCCCACTGCCTTCTCAAAATCCTGGCCCACTGAGGGAACAACACTTGTACCTTCCTGTAAACCTCTGCAATGACATCCACGAATCTTGTAGGACTCTTTGACCTGTTTTGCAAGCATTGCAGCTTCTTCGTGGTCTTTGTTTTTTTAAGCCATTTTCAGTACTGCTGCGGCAGAATACACTTTGCCTTTAAGAGGTACAGTTTGGCTTTTAGTAGTGCAGACCAACTCGTAGTGAAAGATCAGACAGTCTGGAATAATGATTTAATCCATTATATGTCAGAGAGCAGGGGCCTCCTTACTTTTATCAGAAAATTGTTTTTACTTTAGTAGTTTACAATAAGTGAGGTAAATATTGAAAGCCATTAACTTGTCTTTGGCTCAGGATAATTAAGGATTGATTTTTGCTTAGAAAACCCAGAGATTAAAAACATTTAGGACAGTTCAGAGGAGACCTGACTGGGGTCAAAAGCTGATACAGTTTCTATCCTAGAAAGGATGGAACAGTTCAGGGTTACCCAGTATAAAAACTCAGTTTGTGAAACTTCCAACAGTAATGTTTGTTTAGAAATGAGCAGGTTATTACAAGCTGAGAAAGTCTAAGCTCTTAGATTCGTAAGTATTTGTATAAGAAGACTTTACAGTTCAAATGGAAGGTCTGGGAAGAATCAGTTAAGTCAAACTTAAAGATTTAGTATCAAAGGGTAATTCCTCCAGATTTTGGTATCTGTGATGGATAGTGTCAGGAAACTGGATAATACTATGTTTTGCCATGTGTTTTCAGAACTTTAAAACTGTGTTCTATATTTAGACGACTTGATTGTTTTATTTTGGCTTTTGTGTAATAACTTCTGTTGTTAAAGATATTCTTCAGTATTTTGCGACTGTATTTCAGTGACTGACCACAGTGTTAACTAAAATAAAAAAAGAACATGACCTATCAAACCAGATTTCATTCTGGGATTTGACTTGTCCAGTAGTACCATGCACTAGAATCATAAAACTAGCCTTATACAAATTTGAAGCCCCAGGTAAAGCATGCATGCCACGCAACAGTGCATTCAGCATTAGCTGCATGCATCATCATAATAAACACAGAGTTTATCTCTGTGTGCATTCTGATTAATTGCGCATCATGATCGCCATACTTGATTTTAGGGGTTACCCAATTTAGACCACTTTTAGCCAGACTGAGAAATTATTGGATCATAAGGGGGTTGGAAAGGTATTTCAATGGTAGGTGCAATAAATATTGCAGCTAAAAGTGAGCATTTATAATTGAATTCTTCATGGGACCAAGCGAGCATACAATTTTTCAAAATCTTTTGAAATGAAATGTTGTATTTTATCTATTATTGTAAAAAAAATGAGCTAAATAGTCATTGTCATCCCATAGTGTTGCAAGATTTTCAAATTGAAATTAGGTTCAATTCAGAAAGTCATGGAAGTGTTACATTGCAGAAGGAAGCAGCTTGGCCCATTGTGTCTGTACTGGCTCTCCAAATGAGCATCATGAATTAGTGCCATTCTCCTGCCTTTTCCCCATACCCTTGCACAATGTAAACAATCAGCTAATATCCTCTTGAATGTCTCAATTGAACTTGCCTCCATTACTCTTCCAGATAGTGCAATCTAGATCTGAAACACATGTAAAAAAGCTAATTTGCTTTCATATCCTCCCTACACTTTGCTTCTTCACCACTTGTTAAAAATATCTGATGTCTGCAAAAATAGTTACTACTGTTAAGCCAATTATGAGGAGATTTACAGCATCAGCTTGGTAATAAGACTTCATGAGACTTGATCCTCTCTGGGGGTGTCTAGCTTCTCTTTAATAGCTATCCCACACCAGCACAACTGAAATCAAAAATTCAGAGGTGGTTTAGCTTTTCCAGCTTTGCATTTTTATCTAAATCTTGCGAGATGAACACCAGGAGCAAGGATCAATGTTGCTGATCTGATTGTTATCTCAAATCCACATTCATGACTATCAAATAACATTTGACTCCTTTGCTTAACTAGAATCTATCTACCTGTGCTCTAATGATATTCGAAGGGCTCTGCTCCCACCACCTTTTCAAGAGAGTTCCAAAGCCTCACCGCCCTCAAAGAAAAACATTTCACTTAATTTGCTTTACAGGGGTGACATGTGATTTTTAAACAATGAGCCCTGGTTCTAGATTCTCCTATGAAAAAAATATTCTCACTAAATCTACCTTGTCAAGACCCTTCAGGTTCTGACGTTTCAGTCCAGTCATCTCTTATCCTTCTAAATTCCAGCAGATACAAGCTAGCCTGTCCAACCTTTCCTCATAAGACAGCACGCCTAATCCAGATATTAATCGACTAAACCTCTCTGAACTGCCTCCAATGCATTTACATTCTTCCTTAAATAAGATTACCAATACTGTGCATAGAACTCTAGACATGGTTTTACCTGTGTCCTGAGTAACTGAAGCATAACGTCCCTTCTTTTGTATTCAATTCCTCATGACAAAGATTACTTGCTGAACTTTCATGATGCCTTTTGTGTACTGGATTGCCTGTTGCATTTATCTGTGGACATCCCCATTCATGCAGAAGTAGAGCTTCTTTCAGGTGATGTTAACTGCAGTTTCTATTGTAAATCACAGGAGGAGATGGAGTTAATGAAAATTGTAGATGAAGCCTTGGTGATACAGCAGGATCTCAATAACAGACTATTAATTAAAAAGACACACGTCAAGGATGCACAAAAGGAGCTTGATGAAGTTAGGAAGAAATTATCTAATATCAGCAGGTATGTTTTGTTAATTATCAAAGCACCATCAGATACCTGTTGTGAATAAACAAACTACTAGCTGGACTAATAATTCCAGTTAAAGCAGAACCAGTCATCTGTTTTTCGCATTTTGGTAATACTTCAAATTTATTTTTTAAATATTTTAAGTTATTGATGGGAAATTTGATATGAATCAAATACAACGTACTCACTTCTCAGAGTGAATAATCATTAATATTTTGTGAATTACAGGACAAAATCTTTGTTATTTTGTTCTAAGTGTGGTGGTGGAAAGGGAATGGGCAGGATGTCTCCCCTCCCTTGCAAACAGGGAAGCCCACTCAAGCTTGTGCCTAATTGAGCACATAAGGTCACTCAATGGGCTTTCCACCAGGGTCCCTTCCTGTAATAGCAATGTTTCTTCCAATATTCCCCTCGCCTCCCCACTTGAGGCTGCTGGGCAGTGGGAGATCAGCAGCCATTGTGAACGACAGCATTGTGTCAGAAGCCAAAGCTTCTAGCGACACTGTAATTTGGAAGTCCATGAGCAGCAAGCATGTGAAATAACTTAGAGGGAGGGGTTGTGGGTTGGGGCCTGCAGGAGAGAAGGCAGTCAGGTGTATTCAACAAAAAGGATGAGGGTGATTTCAAATGGCTGTCTCATTCATGTCCCTGATCGTCCTCAGATTGAGGCGCTGGCAGGCGGGCCACTCAGTAGTACCAGTCAGGATGGTAGCCAGTGATGTCACCTGCCTGGATCTTAACTCCCTACCTCGGGAAGGTTGTGGGGAAACTCTCCAAAGGCTACCTGCTCAACTATCTTGCCCTCCTGTCAACTTTACTGCCCTTTTTCAGGAAGTCTTTATACACAGTTCTAGTTCCTCGTACTAAATAAATTTAATTGAATATTAATTTGATCTGATTTATTATTGTCACATAGAATCATACAGCATGGAAACAGACCCTTCAGTCCAACTCGTCCATGCTGACCAAGTTTCCCAAACTAAGCTAGCCCCATTTGCCTGCGTTTGGCCCATATCCCTCTAAATCTTCCCTATTCATGTACCTGTCCATTTTGTCTTTTAAATGTTGTAACTGTACCCACATCTAACACTTTCTCTAGCTGTTCATTCCACACACGAACCACCCTCTGTGTGGAAAAGAATTGCCTCTCAGGTCCCTTTTAAATCTTTCTCCTCTCCCCTTAAAAATGTGCCCTCTAGTTTTGAACTCCACCAGCCTACGGAGAAGACCTTTGTTATTCACCTTATTTATGCTCCTCATGATTTTATAAATTTCTATAAGTCACTCCTCAACCTCTTTACGCTCTAGTGAAAAAACTCCCCACCTCTGCTTATAACTCAAACTCTCCAGTCCCAGCAACATCCTGGTAAATCTTTTCTGAACCTTTTCCAGTTTAGTAATAATCTTCCTACAATAGGGCGACCAGAATTGTACACAATACCCTAAATGTGGCCTCACCCACATCCTGTACAACCTCAATATGACGTCTTAACTCCTGTACTCAATGAAAACTGAAAGAACTGCAGATTGGTGAATTAGGAACAAAAGCAGAAGTTCTGGAAAAGCTCAGCAGGTCTGGCAGCATCTGTGAAGAAGAAAATCAGAGTTAACGTTTCGGGTCCTGAGTTCTGAGGAAGGGTCACTGGACCCAGAATGTTAACTCTGATTTTTTTTTCTTCACAGATGCTGCCAGACCTGCTGAGCTTTTCCAGCAACTTCTGTTTTTGTTTCTGTACTCAATGGTCTGAGATATAAAGGCAAGTATGACTCACTAATGTCCTTCAGGGAAGGAAAGCGCCATCCTTACCTGGTCTGACCTACATGTGACTCCAGACCCACAGCAATGTGGTTGACTCTTAACTACCCTCTGGGCAATTAGGGATGGGCAATAAATGCTGGCCTAGCCAGCGATGCCCTAATCCTGTGAACTAATAAAGAAAACAAAAATGCTAAAGACTTCCTTAACCACCCTGCCTTCCTGCGACACAATTTTCAAATAACTATGTTCTTTGGGTTTCTCTGGGTTTCTCTATTCAACAACATTGCCCAGTGGAGTCATGATTGCCTGTTTTAATTATTCTGATAGATGCTAAAAACTCCAGTGTGCTATTTTACAGATAGGAAAAACCATTTTGCTCATCTTAAAGCTTCCACTTTCAAATAACTTGAACATTTCTCCCCAAAACTCAGTAAGATCCAAATCCTTCTTAAAACTTCTCCATTTCACAATTTGGGATTTTATTTCTTAAGATCATACCAAGTAGGAACAGGAGTGTGCCATTCAATCCCTCAAGCCTGCTTCATGAAGATCATGGCTGATCTGTTTGGGACCCCACCTTTACATCCCTGCCTGTCCCCCATAATCTGTGACTTCCATGTCAATCAAAAATCAGTACAGCCTTGAAACATATCCACCGACCCAGCCTGTGCTATTTTCTTTTGAAAAGTATTCCAAAGACTAATAAGCCTCAGAGAGAAGAAATTCTTCCTCATCTTCACCTTAACTGAGCCACCCCTTTATTTTTAAACCATGAGCCCATGTTCAAGATTACTCAGTCTCTGTGAGGAGAGTGGTCTTAAAATTACCTTTCACTGGTTTCACCACTGTCTCCTTTTCCATTAGAGTTTAATTTAAAGCAGTATCTGAATTTTACCAGCGGTGAATGCCCTCTGCTGGTTTATATAGTCCGGTTAAATCTTCAAGCATGAAAACACACAGCTTTGTCCAAATGTGGAATTTTAGCACTTTTTAAGCCACTCAGGTGTCTTTCTGTCAAGTGCCTGTGAAATGGATGGAACTGTGGGTGCTTGTGGTCTGGGTACACAGGGATAGAGTGAAAAGAATTGTTTTGTGTGCTATCCAAATCATAACTTACATATTTAAAAGGCATTAATGGTCTCTTAGGGGGTTGTGATGGGTTAGCGACCAGCAGATGGGAAGTAAGCTAGATAACTTTTTTATTCAGAAATGCAAGGACATGATGGCTAAAGGTTTCCACAATCCGTAGTTTGTGTTGTTCTGTATTTCTGTTGTCACCAATCCTTTTCCCGGTCCCTATCTTTCTTGCAAACATTGTAGACAGGAATATTAAGTACCCATTCCTCCCATTGTTTGGGTGAAGTCTGTGTTAGCACACAAGGACTCCAAACTCTGGAAAAGGCCATTTAGCCCCTTCAACTTCTTCTAACATGCAATAAGATCATGGCTTGCTTGCAACCAATCTCCACGTGCCTGCCTTTGTTTCATATGGCATAATACACTTAGTTAACAATAATCTGCCAAGTTCAGTTTTGAAGTTAAAAATTGATCTACCCTCAATTTTGATTTGCAGAAGAGTTCTAAACTTTCTTGAATCATTTCCAAGTTTCATTTCTGAAAGGTCTGTCACTAATTTTTAATTGCTTAGCCCTAGATTTCCCAACTAGTGGAAATAGTTTCTCCCAATCCACCAAATATATTCCCCTTAATGCTTCGATCAAATTACCCTTTTGCCTTCTAAGTTCCAGGCAATACAATTCTAGTTGTGTAATCTTTCCTGGTAATTTAACCATTGGAGTCTAAGTGCCATTTTGGGTGCACTGTTCCCTGTACTCTGTGCGTAGTGTCACCCAAGGTTTTATACAGCTAAACCGTGACATATATCCCATTGTATAGTAGTTCACTAGTTATAAAAGATTACCTTCTTCTGTTTCCTGTGGTCATTCATTCAAGGTTTTTCTATCTTTCCGTTTCCAAAATGTTTTAGCTATTTAGTGAAGTCCTGAGAGAATCTAGCATGGATAAATCTAGATCATAAGCCAGATACAGCCTGTGAGCTGTAAATTGTCACTACGCGATCTATACTGCTTCGAAAATTGCCTTCCTTTGTGTGATCAGCAAGTTGGAAGTGTGACTTTCTGTCCAATTTTCTAAATCATTTACAAATACAATGATTAGTTCCAACACAAATTCTTATGGGCCGCCGTCAGTTGTGTCCTGCCAGTTAGAACTGTCCATATCTCTCCTCTTCCTTTTCCTTTGATCACTTCTTATGAGGGATTTTATCAAACACCATCTGGAAATCCACATAAATAACGTCAATAGACATTCCTTTGTTTACTGCTTTAATCACTTCATCAAATAATTCAATCTGATTTATTTAGACCTGACCTGCCTGTGTTTTTTTTATATATCAAGAAGTGCTCTTACATACAACTGAATCTTTTTCCCCCATCACCAAATCACCTGTGGTATTTTTCATCTATTAACCACCACCAGTAAATTACTTGTGTTTTCCAATTGGTTAATTTACTTGCAAAGCCCATTAAGAGCAATACAGACCATCAAAGGCAAGGGAGAGGAAGAAGGGGCTGAATCAAAACGGAGTTAGAAGAGGAGATAGAGCACTCTGCCCCTAATCTGCCTATTATAAGTCCATGCTTACTCTCTTATTAGCTGAACACTTTTGAGTCATTTAATATCACTTGAATTAGGTGTCCTTACCTCTGGACTGGAAAGCATGAGTTCAAGTCCAACCTGCTCTAAATAATAACATCTCTGAATAGGTTGACTACCTCACGAGGAATTCAGAACAAATCTTGGCAGACAGTTGAATAGACCAGATTCATAGGTTTTTTTTTTAAATCTTCTACAATCCTTAACTGAAGGAATATGTAGTTGCTGTAAGCCATGCTTTGAAGATTATCCATTGTCTATAATCAAGCCTTTTAATGAATTTTCCGACTCAACCAGTTTGTACCTCATGCCTTCATAATTTCCTTCATTCAAATTTAACACCCTTGATGTAGATTGAACTACCTCATTTCTAAACTTAATGTAAAATTCTGTCATATTGTGGTCACTCCTAAAGGTTTTCTAGATCTTAAAAAAGGTTAGTCATCTCATCAGTTCTTCAACGTAATCTATCCCTAACACACAACAGAAACCCAACATCCACAGCTTTAATGTTCATTTGCTTTACCCAGCCTATATGCAGACTGATGTTATCCATAATTACAATGTTGCCCATGCTACATACTTCTCTAATCTCCTGATAAATACCATATCCCACACTATTACTACTATTTGGTAGCCTATAAGTAACTCCAGCCAATGTCTACTGCCCAGTGCTGTTTCTTAGTTCCACCCACACAGGTTCCACATGTTATTCTTAGATTAGAATATGAATGCAATATAGCAAAAAAACATAAAAATGAATTGCAAAAGGTACTATAGGTACACTTTGATTGATATGGCTGAAAATGGATTTATTTAAGAAAGAAAGCATTTTTAAATCATTTCAATCCACCACCTGTGAATAATCAAGATACATAACTGAAAATGATTTACAGGTTTCCTACCCATATTGAGGTACAGTTATCAATGCCTTAGTAAAGTCAAAAAAGACTTTGAAAATGCTCCAATTAACATTGTTCTGGCCAAAAGAACCAGTTTAATTTTTAAATCTTCACTGAATGTCTGTAAATGCAAATTATCAGAAATTTGCAGTACTGATTTAATTCATCCTGGATGAGTAACCAATTTGGTGTGGAAAGGGCTGGAGTCTAACACTATCTTTTCAGCTAGGGCTAAATCTTGAAGGAATTTGAATCCCATTTAAAAAGCACAATCTTTTGAAAAGATTTCAGGAAGATTGTGCTCATAAAAGTCAACAACAATGAACGGGATCTTCAGCATGTAGCAGTTTAATATTTGAATGATTGTTGGTCAGAAAGCTATTCCTATCAGTTTTTGTGATGGGGATCCTGCCAGGCAAGCACTGAAAAATTATTTACACATGTTTCATCACTAAGTTGTTTTCTTTATTCTTGCTTGTTCTATGAGGATCCCTGGCAAAGCTAGTATTAGTTGCCCATCCCTAATTGCAATTGAGAAAGTGATGGTCTGAGAATCTGGTTTTGTTTATGAAGCCCTGCAGTCGTTTGTATTCAACAAAATAACTTCCGTATTTTGTCTTAAAAATAAATAAAAATGGGCATTTCTTTGTCATTGATTATTTCTGTTTATATCAGTTAATACCCACCTGAATTACAGAAAATTACTTGGGACATTGTTACGTTTTTGGAACTTCAGTGAAGCTACCCTGAAAAATGGACTTCTTTTCTGCCCCTTCTGTAAAGAGCTCCTTCATTCTGCTACTCTGACTATCTCATTTTTTTTTTGCTATTATTAGCAAATAGTTTTTTTTAAAGACATTCATTTTAGTCACTGAATTTATAACAGTTGATCTGACTGGATTTTTTTGTTTGCACCCTACCTTTTAGTAAACTTAAAATAACCTTACCAATCAGTAGCATTGCCTCTGAAGCAAATGTTCTGAATTAACTTTTAACAGAGGAGCTCCAGGTTGCTGACCTGTAAATGGTGATACAAGAGTTACCTACATTTGAGCAATTTATTACAGTCAAAATCTTGTTTTAAGATGCCTTTTTACAAGGTTTTTTGAGTTCTAGCTTTAGAATGAATGGGTTCTTGTGTACACTGGTATGATTTTACCACCAAAGAAGATAGCAAATTCCAGTTTAGAAGGTGGGAAGGGAGCTTTTTAAGCTTAAGGGAAACCTTAGCATTTGAGCAGTCCTGTGAAGATCTTGGATGAAGATGACTGTATAAACCGGTACTCTTGGATTCATAGAATCTATGATTTTAGACTGTAGAACCCTTACAGTGGGAAAGAGGTCCTTCAGCCTATCGAGCACCAATCGTCCGAAAAGTATCCTACCCGGACCCCTGCTATATCCTTTGACCTCACATTTACCGTAGCTAATCCACCTAGCCTACACATCCCTGGACAATTTCAGTATGGCCAGTCCACCCAACCTGCACATCTTTCGACTGTGGGAGGAAACCAGAGCACCTGGAGGAAACCCGCGCAGACATGGGGAGAACATGCAAACTCTACACAGTCGCCTGAGTTGGAATTGAACCTGTGTCCCTGGCTCTCTGAGGTAGCATTGCTAATCACTGAGCCACCATGCCACCCCCCTTTTTTTTTTAACCCACTGCACCTGGTAATCCCAGGTGCACTCTCATCCAAGTACTTCCCAGGCCTTAGTCTGCTGAGCTTCCAAGATCAGATGTGATTTGACATTTTCAGACTAGTATGGCCCTTCGTGAGAAGAACACGTAATATAGCTAGCTTACCTTAGAGTAAAGACTTAGTGATAGCCCCAGATCAGAGTGTTTGGTTAAAGCCTTGAAAAGGTTACTTAAAGCTGAGTAGATTTAAGCTTACATGCATAATAGCTCCAGGATGAAGCTATCTGCATTTACAGTATATTGGTTAAAGTAACAAGTGACTTTAACCAATTAAGATGTTAGAGACAGGCACTCTCGAGTACTGTAGAAGTGGTGTTTTGGGGTATTGTGCAGGTGTATTTTTAGATACTGTATCAGTGGTGTCTTCTGTGAACTATACAAAAGCTGTTGCTTTTTTGTTTCAAATTATAAAGGAGTGTTTTGGGATTAATGGAATTATACTTTTACTGTGTTTAAAAATCTTTGAATTTGTGTTATATATAGATAGCTTGGTTGACTCCATTTTATTTTCATTTCTTTTGCTAATAAATTTCTGTTTTACTGTTAAAGCAAAATGTGCAGTATTGTCTGTTTATGTTTCAGCAAGGTTTGTTAAAATCAAAACAATTCAAAGATCTATCAAACCAGGTTTCAGTTTAGGATGACATCAGATGGGAACATAACAAGTACTGTTGAGTGTTGTATTTCCCCGTTTTACTTTTACCTAATTGTAAAATGAAAAATATTTACAATTTAACTTTTTGCATGCCAAAATGTAACCAAAATTTGACATGATGATGTTTGTGTCCAGGGAACTAGCAAAACTTCAGAAAGAACATGTATGTTTGGAAACTTCAATAGAACAAAAAAGATTGGAGAAACACAACCTTCTACTTGCCTGCAAAGTCCAAGATGTACAGATTGAACTTCTGCAAGGCAACCTGGAAGAAATTAGTGAGGTAGGCATTACATGATCTTTTTCCTTTCAACCTGTGAGTATTTAGTTGTCTGCTGTTCCAACTGGGACCCAAACAGTGGTAGGAAAGGAGACTTCTAGCCTCTATCTATATGCATAGATTACCTTCCAATGGGAGTAAAGCTCACAACTCACCATTTGCCAAAGGTCATCACACACAACTTGATTAAGCAGTTAATAAGAGTAAGCATGCTTTCTTACATTTACATTTAATGGCACATATGTCACAGGTTCTATTATGTAGATCATTCATTTTGCTGAAGGCAGCAGATCACTGCACAGCTAATGAGAAAACTCTGAAGGTGCAGACAATAATCATTAGAAGCCATTACCAAGAACTAAGAATGAGATTAGATATACAAATACCACTGTCCAGTACCAACAATTGATTTGTGAATAGCCTGGCTTATTGAATCTGCACAGTTGGAGTTGTTCATTGAGCTGTAACTAGTGTCCATGTTGTGGTCAGGAATCAAATGCAGTCACTATTTTATGGTATTTTGTACTGTTCATTGTAGCGTCCACATTGGGACACTTCAAACTTAGTTTCTTCTTGGAATGTGGATTATGATGGCAAAGTAGTATGATTATCCATTCATTTTTGCCATGAGATCTTTTAGTGGGTCCTGATTTGAAGCGCCTTAATACTGAGTAAGTTTCTAAGTTACTTCAGAAGGCATTAATAATCAACAATGTTTTGTTCTGGAAGAAAGCCTTTCCAATCAACTTATAACTGTCTTTTTAAATATTTTGTTCATTTGATAAGGTACTACACAAAAGGTTATTGCAGAAAATAAAACTCATGGTTTTGTGGTTAACATATTGTAGCGAGAAGATTGGCTGGCTAACAGGGAGCAGACTGTAGGAATAAATGGGCCTTTTCCATAGTGGCAGGATATCACAAGTAATGTGCCACAGTGGTCGGTGTCAACTCTACAATTTTTATAAATGATTTGGATGAAGGGACCAATGGACCAAAGTTGCTGATGACAAAGATAGGAAAGTGAGTTGTCAAGGGGACATAAGGAGTCTACAAAAGAACATAGGTAGGTTAAGTGTTTTGGCAAAGATCTGACAAACAGAGAGTAATATGGAAAAGTGCAAAATTGTCCATTTTGGCAGAAAGAATAAAATAAAGCATAGAATGTAAATACTAAGAGATTGCAGACCTCTGTGATGCAGTGAGATCTGCATGTTCTAATGTATGAATCGCAGAAGATTAGTACACAGATGCAGCAAGTAAGCAGGAAGGTAATAGAATGTTATGTTTTATAGCAAGGAGAATTGAATACAAGAGTAGGGAGGTTAGTCTCAGTTATATAGGCCATTGTTAAGACCACACCTGGAGTAATGTGTAAAGTACTGGTCACCATACTTATGGAAGGATGTTAATGCTTTGAAAGCAGTTCAGAGAAGATTTACTAGACTAATACCTGGAACGAGCAGATTGCCTTATGAGGGAAGGCTACACATGCTAGGCCTACATCCTGTAGAGTTTAGGAGAATCAGAGGTAACTTAATTGAAACATGTAGCTTTCTAAGGGTGGGTGGATGTGGAAAGGATGTTTCCTCTTGTTGGATAATCTAGAACAAGGGATCATAATTTAAACATGAAGGGTCACAGATTTAATACAGATGCGGAAAAAAAATTTGATTGTTTAGCATCTCTGGAATTCCCTTCCTCAAAAGACAATGGTTGCAGAATCTTTAAATATGAGTAAGGCGGAGGTCAATAGATTCTTAATTACCAAAAGGATGAAAGATTATTAGGGATATCCAGAAGTGTTGAGGTTAAAATCAGATCAGCCATGATCTTATTGAAGAGCTCAAAGGGCCAAGCGACCTACTTTTATTCCTTGTTCACATGATGATACGGACTTCACCACCACTTCTTTTGACTGCTCCACTGTTACTAAATAATCAGACTGCTTATCCAACATATAGTACTGGATGAGCAGAAGTATGTTCCAATTAAATATTAGGAAAAATGAAGTCATTGTTTTCAATTCTGGATCCAAACTCCAATCCCTAGGTGGCAACTCTATTCCTCTCCCTGTCAACTGCCTGATTTTAAACCAATCCGTTCACAACCTATGGTATCACATTTGATCCCAAGATGAGCTTCTAACCTCATATTCATTGTTGTCACCAAAACCACTGATTTGCACCTCTGTAACAGTGTCCAACATCACCTGTTTCAGTTGATCAGCTGCTAAAACTCTCATTCTTGCCTTTGTTATCTCTAGATCTGAATTTTACAATGTGCATCCAGTTAGTCTGCCACGTTCTACCCTCTATAAATTTGAGGTAATCCAAAATCACATCTTAAGTTGCACTAGGTTGCATTCCCCCATCACCTCTGTGCTTGCTCGTGTACATCGGCTCCTTCCAAGCAACAATTTTATGTTAGAATTCTTACCCGTGTTTTCAAATCCCTCCATGGCTGCTCCACACCCTATGTCTATTTTCTTCAGCTATCCCACAACCATCTAAGAAATCTGTGCCACTGTGATTCTGGTCTCCAGTTTGTCCTTGAACTTAAATGCCCCATTATTCATGACTGTACCTTCACTTGCCTAGGCTTAAACTTTGGAATATTTCCCCTTCGACTCTTTACTTCTCTATCTCTCTGTCCTCCTTTAAAGTTCTACTTGGCCAAGTTTTGGATCATCTGACCAAATATTGTCCCATGTTGCGCAGTGTCATACCTGCGCTGTACACTCGGATTTCACTACATTAAAGACACTTAATAAATATTAGTTAGTTATTCTTAGTTTCAGCATGCCTCTTGAATAACTCGAGCCCGTCTCTCTGCCCTTCGATGATGCTTACTTCAACGTCTATTGTAATTTGTACGAAATGTAATTCCAGTTATGTTCCTTTGTTAGTCTAGAACCAATTAGACTATGACCCCTAGCATTTAAACACCATTATAATGAATTATGACTGGATCAGCTTTGTTCTTTTTTTGTGAAAACTTCTAACCAGAAATACAGACTCATGCATTTTAGTTACAAACTCCAGGCATAAGACCCAAATATTTAAGTCCCATTGATCTCAGTTGTTCCAGCCATGGTAAGCATTGTGTCACTAACTTGAAAGACAGTGATTTCACAGTAGGTGCTCTAATGAAACCAAGTACCATTCCTTTCTCCACCTTGCTGTGTAAACATCAGAAAACATCTCCTGTTGCTTTAAAAATACATGAGGTTCTTCTGGGCTAATTAGATTTGGATGAGGTAACTGGTCCTCACTGCAACTGTTTGGCTCTAAGATTCCACAGGCTAATCTATTACATTTTTCATCAATATAAACTCAAGAATTGCAATTAAATGGCACATTTGGAACAGATGTGCAAGTTAGACGGATTGGCCATGCTAAATTACCCATAATGTTCAGGGATGTATAGGTTAGATGTATTAGCTGTGGGAAATACAGGGATAGGTCAGGGGAATGGGTTTGGGTGGGATGATCTTCGGAGGCTCATTGTAGACTCGTTGGGCCAAATGGCTGTTTCCACACTGTAGGGATTCTATGGAATTTTGCAACCTTTGGTTATTGAAAACAGTATATCTTTATTTGCAAGCAGAGAAAGCTGTGAATTTGTTTTATTTGAGCCCATCCCAAAATTATTTTTCTGAAGAAACAAGTGACCAAAATTTAAATTTGCTATATATGTTGTTTTCTGCAGTGGTTGATGTTCTCTTGAAGATATTAATCACACTCAAAATAGATCAAGTAAGGAACGAATACAGAAATAGTGCTGTTACTGAGTGTTCTTTAGATAACATGGAGCAGTTTCATACAGAGGTTTCTAACAAATACTTATGTGCTACTGTATAAGGTTTATTTAGAAAAAAAAGACAGCACAAGATAGGAAAAAGTGAGGGAACTGTTTCTTTTCAGAGACATAACGATGTAAATTTGAGTTTTCTTACAGGTTTTAATGGAAGTTGAAAGTACCCAAGCTGCAAGAGCTGTCTTTGAACTGGAAGCTGCATTTGAAATAAACTACACCGGTTTACCAACAGATCTCAAAGTAAGCAGTTGTAATATTTGATTACTTTAGAAACATTGTTCAGTTCTTATTGCTGAGGATGTATGGCCTTTGTAAAAATTGGAATACATTGAACTGTTCGAAGACATCTAGATTTAAAGGGATTTTACCAAGGTTTTGAAGAGAAATGATGATTAAAGTTTAATGTGAGTTGTTTTCTACCTGCTGTTTATAGAAAATGAAGTGACTGGAAAAATAGCCAAGCAAAGCTTTTAGAGAGGTAAAAGATAGGGTTTATTGCCCCGAATAGCAGGAAAACCTAGCTTTTAAAGAGATTATGAGGACTCTGCTGATAATTGCCTTGCAATTCTTTGTGAACTTGTTTTCTGTTTGTCAGACCTGTGGAGCTCAGAAGGAAGAAAACCTCCAAAGCAACATCAAGGTTGCAAATCTTTCTCTCTCCCTTTCTTGCTTAAAGTACTTGGGAACTACAGTAAAGTTTCCATACCTCATTGTTTTGACTACCTTGTAAAGTCTGAAGAGCTGCACTGGGACCACTATTCAAAGACTTGGATTGAGCTTGAACTCCGTACAAACTGAAGCCTTGTTTGAAAAGATCTTCCAACAGTCTGTAGCGGTCTGCAATTCCGTTTGGTCAACACAAAATCTGCTGGTCATCCTTGTAGCTTAATTAATTAACCAGTTTTACCACTTTTTCTTAAGAACAAGTTTCATCTTATAATAAACAGATTATTTTGAGTTCATTAAAGAGGTATTGTACTATTCTTTTTCATTCTCATAGCAGTAGAAAGGGGAAGCAATTGGCCATTTTGGTGACTGAATCAAAATCATTGATATTAATGGCTCAACTTGTAGAGTAATGAGACTTGATTGCCAGCACATTCCTGTCATCACAGTCATAACATTACACACAATCATTCACCCTGATAAAATTTAAGTGAAGTTAACTAGATAACCTTTAGGGGCTAAACTTATGACTGACTTATTACAAGCAAAAATAGATTTTTTCTATGCATATACCACTGAAATGGCAATTATAATTCATTTATAGTACCGTTTATATTTAATTATAGACTACGCCTGCTCAGTCAGTTGAGAATGATGAAAAAAGATAATGTCTCTTTATTAGATTGCAAGGATACTGATGTTCATTTCTGAAGAAATCAATGCATTTTAGTTGGATTAGTCAAACACTACTTTCGTGTTTGATTAAATATGAGATTTTTCTGTATTTCCACATTTCCAGTAAACTCAATATTAAAATAGGAAGCCAGTTGTTGAACCAGGGAAGGTATATTGGCATATGAGGAAGGGTCACTGGACCCGAAATGTTAACTCTGCTTTCTCTTTACAGATGCTACCAGACCTGCTGCGTTTTTCCAGCAATTTCTGATTTTGTTTAGGCAAGTGAGGTGTTTGGCTTCTGAGGAAAGTTTGAGCAGGTTAAGAATTAAGAAAGAAAGGTAATCCAATTGAAACAAGCACGATTCTAAGAGGATTTCACAGGATAGATTTTACCCCTCAAGGTGAAATCTACAAAAAGGGGACATGGTTTCAAAATAAGTGGTCTCCCATTTAAGATTGAGAGGAGGAATTAAGACTGAGGGGAGAAACAGTTTCTTCTCTCAGAGCGCTGCTGGTATTTAGCATTCTAGTCCATAGAGAGTAATAGAGGCTGGGTAATTGTAAGTATTCAGACCTGAAATAGTCAGATTTTTGAATGACAAGGAAGTCAAGTGTTATGGGGGTCAGGAAGATAAGTAGATTTTAAAAGCACAGTGAGTTCAGCCATGATATTGTTAAGAAATGGAGAATGCTTGAGGTGCTGAATAGCCTACTTCTGCTTCTGTTTCTTGTGTTCTTATTTTCTGAACTGTTTCCAATGCAAATACATCCTTTTTATTAAGTCAAGAGAGCAAAACTGTACACAGTGCTCTAGATGCAGTCTCACAAATGCCCTGTACAGTTATAGCAAGATTCCCCTATTTATATACTCTACCCCCTTGCAATGAAGGCCAGCATTACAGGTACTTACACATATCTTCATGCTAAGCTATTGTGATTCACGTATAAGAACATGCATGCTTCTCAGTACTGAAGTATTCTGCAGTGTTCCTCCATTTAAATAATATTCTACTTTATATTCTTCCTGTCAAAATGAAAAACCTCACACTATAACACTCCACATAATACTATTTTGCTAATGTTTTGCCTTACACTTAAACTATCAATATTCATTTACAAACTCTTTTCAACTGGATTTTCACAAAGCTGAAGAGCCTCATTGCAAAATGGCTGAGATCAAAAATTAGATGTCTCACCCCTCAAACAGAGTACCTGCCATTTTCAAGGAATGGATTGTGTCTCATGCATGCAGGTCTTGACCATACAAATCAGCAGATGATTTGTGAAAAGTGTTGTGCTCAGACTAGAACTGGTAGTAGCAAGACATTTGGGTAGCCATAAAATTTCCTTTAGGATATGGCCCCAGAAGAGCATTGGGGAAGTTCAGGTGCCCTTTGAGTGAGGGATGGTGCCCCTGAGGATTGTTAAAAATAGACATTATTGGGCACTAAAGTTCACTAACTGTCAAGCTGATTGCAACAATCAAAACAACTGTCAAAGATATCAAGAAGGACTGACAGCTGTCAAAGCATTTATAACCCCTGCCCTTCAAACCTTTGAACAAACTGAGATGTTGCAAAAAAAAACTGTTGACATAAACCTAAGGACTACCATTACTGGAATAGTACTGCATGACTGACTTCTCAACTTTCAGTTTTCATAGTAGGATGGCTGCCATTTCATAATCTGATTGATAACTTCAAGTGGTTATAAACTGTTTGAAATGGAACTGACATCACCCCTTGGTGTATCCTGAATGTCCAGCAGATCCACCAGAAGTAGTAGCACAGTGGTATACAGCCAGCAGGGGGTTGCCCTGAGAGTCTTCCAGACCCCATGAAGTCTTTCCTCTTCCTCTTGCTTCCATCACTTCAAATTGGTTAATGAATTAATAATCAATGTTAAACATCTGTCAGAACAAACTCGGAGGGTGGAAAGGACAGAGAATGTACTCAGGATGGGGGAGTTCAGTCTCCATCAGAAAGATTGGCTCAGTAACACCATTACTGACTGAGCCGGCTGAGTAGTAAAGGACATAGTTGTTAGATTGTATCTGCAACAGGTGGTATGGGAACATCCTCACCAGTATATCAGCTACAGATTCATTTTCCATGATAGTATTGGAAAATGACTACTTCACAGTCCTTATGGAAATGAAGTTTCTTCTTCATTCGGCTCTGCAGCACTATCACTGTGCTAATTTGAATAGATTTCAACTGATCTAATAACGCAAAACCAGGCTTCCATGAGTCATCTTGTTCCATCAATAGTGTGTGTTCATATGTAGGAAAGTCTAGATGACATTCATACCATAAAAGTGACAGGCAAAGACCCTCTCCAATAAGTGGGAATCTAACCATCTCCCAATGATATTCAATTACACTACCATCACAGAATCCCATACAGTCAATGTCTTGGATGTTACCATTGACAAGGTTGTGAATTGGAAGGGCCATATAAATAGACTATGGCTACCAAAGCCAGTCAGCAGCCAGGAGTTCTATAGCAAGTAATTCACCTGACTCATCAATGTTACAGCTCCTACCAACATACTAGAAGCTCAATACTATTCAGAACAAAACTGCTGGCTTGATTGGCACCCCGTTCACCATCTTCAGGATTCACTCCCTTCAACACTTGTAGCAGATACTATCTACCACTATAGCAACTCATAATAGCACCTTCCAATCATGCAAACTCTACCACTTGGTAGGACAAGGGCAATAGATGCACTTGAACTCCACTACCCACAAGTTTCTCCCCAAGCCATACAAAAGCCTGACTTGGAATTTTATGCCCCATTTTTCACTGTCATAGGATCAAAATTCTGAAACTTCCTGACAGCATTGTGTGTGAACCTACAATCCAAATTCTGCAACAGGTCAGGTCAGCCACTCAAAATCATTTTCTCAAGGACAATTAGAGTTCAGGAATAAAAGTTGGCTGAGCCAGCAAAGTCCACATCCCAGAACCAAATAACAGAACTTCTGTTCCTTGTCTATATAAGAGATTATGCACTTCTGTTATTGCTTCACTGGTGTAGCGCACTGGAAATCAAACCTTGCTATTCTTGGAGTCATCTTAAAGTTAAAGATTTTGAAAAGTAAGCTGAATTTCCCAATTAACCTGTCTTTCAGACCCAGTTTGACAGAAAGCACAGACCAGCTTTTTGTACTTAATTACTATTTGTTACAAGTAAATAGGCTGTAGCTACAGGTAAACAATTAGGAATCATTAGTGTAACTCTACTAGTTAATATCTAACCCCCATATAGGCTTCCCACATATATAGGCATACACAGTTGGGGGAAAAACAAAATGGATGTGATAGGAGAAAGGAAAGACTGGGAAGGCAGTTCAGTTGTCCCTGTTTACAGGGTTCACTGAGATGGTCCTTTTGGCTTGTCAGGATGTGCTAGACCATGGATTCTCCTTCTTCAAATATTTTCACTTGCTTGCAGAAGCTACAAGTGGCTGGTTTACACTTCTAAAGTCTCTGCCTTACTAATCAAAAGCCACAGCTTAGGGCAAATGCAGAGGAAAAAACAAACTGTATTTCTTCAGACTTCGGATGATTTTTACTCCAGAGAACCAATGACTTCTCCAAACATTCAGCAGAGCTTTTGACAAATTCCCACATGGGAAACAGATAAAGAAGGCGAAAGCATATGGGTGCAGAGGAACTTGCAAGAAAAATCCAAAAGTAACTTAATGGTAAGGGGATAGTGATAGAAGGTTGTTTGTGTGACTGGAGACTGATGTCCAGTGGTGTGCCAGAGGGATCAGTGCTAGATCCCAAATTGTTTATAATACATATAAGTAAGGTAGAAGAAAATGTGGGGACGATGATAAGTAAGCTTGCGACAACATGAAAATTGGCGTTGTGGTGACAATGAAGAAGAAGGTCCTAGGTTACAGGAGGATATAAACAGATTGTTCAGATGGACAGATCAGTGGCAGGTGGAATTTAACCCTTATTGGTGTGAGGTCATGCACTTTGGAAGAAAACACAAGACAAGGGAGCACTCAATGAAAGGCATGACACTAGGAGCCTCAGAGGAACAAAGGAATCTTGGGGTGCTTATTCACAGATTCCTGAAGACACTTGCCTTTTTCTGTCATTGCATAAATTGTAAGATAAGGAAGGTTATGTTGGAGGTGTACAGGACTTTGGTTAGGTCACAGTTGGAGAACTGTGTGCAAATTGTTAAGTATATTTAAGGCAGAGACAGATTGGTTCTTGATCAGTAAAGGGATCAAAGATTATGGGGAGAAGATGGAAGAATGGGTTGAGAGACATATCAGCCATGATCGGATGGTGGAACAGACTCGATGGACCAAGCGGCCTAATTCTACTGCTGTATCTAATGGTCTTTTAGGTTCTTGGAGGGTGGAAAACATGACCGAGGAGAGTTGTTGAGGTGCGCAATCTCATAACTTTTATAAAGTTCTTAGATGAGCACTTGAAATGTCCTAACATTCAAGGCTATTGGCCGAGGGCTGGAAAGTGGGATGAGTGTATATTCAGAGTACATTTTTGTCAATGCAGACTCAATGGGTCAAAAGCCCTCTTCTGTACTGTGTGATTCTGTGATTCACACTGCTAAGCTGTTTAGCTTCCTCAGAACCAATCACATAATTATTACCAGGCAGAGGCCTTTGTCATCGATAACTGATCTCTGGTCCACAGATCAATCAGCTGTTTATTGCCAGCCAAAGCTGTATACATACCCCTTGGCTCCAGCTCATCTGCAACAAGGCTTCCGCTGCTGCTTGAACAAGCAGTTGTGTGAGCGGCACTAACAATACATATCAAGTTACTTGCATTTAAACCAGCTGTTTTCCCATTTCAGTCCACAATCAAAACACAGAAAGCTAAAAAGATATTGTCTTTACACTTGAATCAAATGCTTGTTCGATGAAGGAATAAGCAGTTAAAGAACTGTAAATTCACTGAATGGGTTTTTAAAAATGAGCTGTTTATTTTTAAAATTTGTAATAAATATTTAGAATTTCTTTTTAAAAGCAGAGGTAGATAGATTCTTGATAAGAGGCTGAAGGGTTATTGTGGTATGTTAAGATGGGTAGGCAGAGATATGAAATAGATCTTATTGAATGACAGAACCTAATTCTGCACCTAATTCTCTATTTGTATGTTATCGGAAACATTTACTCAGCAGATCTAGTAGCATTTGTGGAGAGAATAACAAAGTTAACAGTTAATTGTGTCTCTCTCCACAAGTACCAGTTTGAGTGTTTACACTTTTTCTATTAGTATACGTCCACATGCTAAGGAATGTGAAGGCACCCAATTTAATATTATGGGTATGTGTTAAATACTACCTTAAACATTTGAAGTAGTATTATAATGGTCAATAAATAAATAATTTCTACTAAAGTATTTAGTAATTTAATAAACCTGATTTTAAGGTTTTCCAACACTCCCAATTGCTGTATAATTCTCACAATTAGATGTCAATTATTTTGCAGTTTTTTTAAGACCATAACTCAAGCTACATAAATTTATCAATTTTCTCAGGGCCTCACATCTCTTAAGGACATTGAGATGGAGGAGAACAGATTGAATAAGCTATTGGAAGAAAAGGAGACAATTTTACAAAGAACTGCTGCACCAAATTTAAGAGCTGTTGAAAAGCTACAAAATACATGGGATAAGTTTCAAGAGTCATTGTCTGGTAGGTTCAAAGTTTGGTGTATTGAGCTGACTTTGCAATTGCTGGCTTTCATCCCAACATGATTGAAACTTTGCTTTAGTTATAATCAGAAATTGGTGACTTTAAAGCTTCATTTTAGAACACTTACTGATTTACAGTAATTAAATGAATTAGATTTCTTTTTTAATTTACAGGTATGTGCTTTTAATGAGATTTTTCCTGTTTTTTAGTCTTCTGCCTTTGTATTTGATCAGTTTCTGATGTTTGATTATGGTGCTTTGGTTTGGCAGACTTAGACTCTATTGAATAAAAGACTCTGGAATGCCAAGCCAATGAAAAAGTGCACTAGGGTGGGAGAAGAGTGTGTGTTATCCTGTGGAATGGTGACTAAATAACGAGAAAAGCATTCCGTGTCTGAAAAGGTTTGGAGAATAAAACAAACTAAAGCTTATTGCAAACCCAACCAAGTCAGTCATCAATGCCCCCCATTTAAGGCAACTTGAATGCTGGATTTCACTGGACCAATAATATTTGATCTACAGCAAAATCATTTCAACAAATGAAGCCAGTGTGAGAAAACAGCCTTGAAATAGCTAGAAAATAAGCTTATGAGAGATTAAATTGTTTACATTTTTTCCAATCCATTTTAGTCTAAATTTTCCCACCTAGAATATCTGTTCTTTCCTAGCATTTGAAACAAGCAGAAAGAAAGCTAGAATATGCAGACAGGATTTTGAATATGTCAAAAGAAGAAGATACGATTTGTTTAACCAGTGCTTTGAGCATGTCTCAGTGAAAATTGATCAGATCTACAAGATGATGTGTCAAAATACCAGTGCTCAGGTAAATCATATTTCTAAAATGAAATTTCGGTATCATGATTCTTGTCCCAAAAAAACAGCTTTGTACCCTTTTGTTTCACTTCAGTTAATTTGTTTTTTATATAAACAGTGAATATAACGATTCTTTTGTGTGGGCTAAGAGGTGAACAAGCTCTATGAAATACTTGTAAAATTTCACTGTGTTTGACTCACTCTTTCAAGTGATGGAAAAATCTGCTCACATGAAATGGATTCGCCAAAAATGGCAGGTACATTATCTCACTACAATGTATTGCCTTTTTCCCCCCAAACCTTTAAAACTGATCGAAGTTGTTTGAGTGAGTGTTTAGAGATCTTTTAGTCTAAGCAGGAAGACTGTTAACGCAAGCTAAAATAAACAGCACAACTGTTTCTTCTACTTTTAAAGCAGTGGCTTCTGGGAGAGATTACTTGATGTTAGGACACCAGGTGTTTGATAGGCCAGTGGTTGCAGTTTCCATTAGTGAGCTAGCTGGGCTAAAACAGGAATACTGATGTTTTACTTAATTGAGATATTTGGTGACAGAATTTGCCACAAAGCCCCAAATTGGCTGTTAATATTCATTGTGTCATGGTCATATTAGGAGCTGTTAATGTCAAAAGAAGTCCAAAGGACCAGCAGTTAAATGACAATTAGAAACAAAACAGAACAAAGAACTATGAATGGTGGAGATCTGGAGTTTTTCTCTCCACAAATGCTGCCAGAACTGCTGAGTTTCTCTAGCACTTTCTGTTTTTGAATTAAAAACAAAACACTGCAGGTGCTGTTAATCTGAAATAGAAATTTAAAGGGCTGGAGAAACTCAGCAGATCTGGGGAGAGAGAAACAGAATTAATGTTTCGAGTTCAATGACTGTTCTTTGAAACTGGACGGGGTGGAAAATGATGTTTTTTATGCTCTTGACAAAAGGAGAGCAGAGCGAATGAAATAGGTGGTGATGATTCCAATGGTAAAAGACAAAGAAATTGTTATGGTAGTAAAGGATAGATTGAGATACAAAGTAGATGTTAATGATAGGTGTGAATAGAAGAATTTTACTGTCAGCAAAAGTCAAGAAAACATAAACAAACCATGGCAGTGAGGTGTCATAAAAACAGAGGACAGAGTTCTAAAGGCTACAAGGTGCCCAAGCAAACAGTGAGGTTGCATTGAGCTTCACTGGAACACTCTGCAGCAGCCCCAGGAGAGAAATGGTGGCATGGTAGTGGAATGGTATATTAAAATAGCAAACAACTGGAAGGCCAGGATTACTCTTGAGGGCAGAATGGGGATATTCCACAAAGGAGTCACCCAGTCTGTATTTTGTCTCATCAATGATTTGTGAGCAGTGAATATGGTAGACTAGATTGAAAGAAGTACAAGTAAACCCACTGCTTCACCTGAAAGGTGTCTTTGGAGTTCTGCAGTTGCCCTATTAACTTCTATTTTGTGTCCCCATTGCTTCTGTACCACCGTTAACACTTTATTTGTCTTTTGCCCTGGGCACCCTCACCTTCTATTTCATTTTCTCCTCCCTTTTTGTCACGAGCATAGAAAGCCATCGTTTTCCAGTCACTTCCAAGGCAGAGTAGTTGGACTCTGTGTCAGATCTGTTTTGCACTCCATAGATTCTGTCAGACCTGCTGCATTTCTCTAGCACTTTGTTTTTTAATTAAACTGTGTCACACAATTTCACCTTGTTAAAGAGAATCATTGCAAACACCACTAACTTTGCACTTTAGCTGATAAGACCTATGCCAAAAACTCGCTTCTATTCTTAAATGTCTCCCTGTGCTACTGCCCCAAAAAAGTGTTTAGTTATCTTAGAAAATCTTGAGGATTTATTTACCTTTCCTCGGAACAACCCAAAATTATACAGTAGCCCTCCAGGGTTTCCTTTACTTTTTATTAGCATTCTAGCTATTCCCTGAGCTACAAATTCTGTGGGAATCCTTCCATTTGCATTTGGCTAAGTGGTCCTCCAGTTTGCTTCACAGAAAGTGTGGAGTTTTCAGCTTTTTGTCCTGACTTTGGGCATGTATAGAGTGCTTTTTCCCAGTCTGCTCCCACAGCCTCTGTAAAGTTCTTTTCAAGCTAACTGGTTAAGTTGATTGCTTTCTGCCACAAGGCCCTGCAAAGACTACAATAGGTTTCTTCTTCTAGCTTCAAACTGGGGAAATTTTTCAGCTGCTTCCACTACAACACCCCACCCAAACCACTTAACAAATTCCAAACTTTGCTTGTGCCCCAACTATATTCCATATGGTGAACAACGTTAGTATTTTCTCTGCTAAATGCAGATCTGACTGACATTCATTTCATTTGCCTCTCCCTACTCAGTGAATTGCAGCCTACACAAGACCAATTCTGACGTGCTTCAGTCTGTTTCCAAAATGAAATGCGCTTGCTTTTGTCAGCAAACACATATACAGATAAATAGAAAGAAAAGTCTTTTAACCAAGGCCAACTTGAATCATTTCGGCAATTTGATAGGTTTTCAGATATTATCAAACATTCATCATTTTTTCCCAGGGCAGAAATGACTGTCACAAGGGGGCATAATTTTAAGGTGATTGGAGGAAGGTATGGGAAGATGTCAGAGGTAGGTTCTTTACACAGAGAGTGTGGGCGTGTGGAATGCGCTGTCGGCAGTGGTAGTGGAGTCAGATATTTCAGAAGCTTTTAAGTGACTCATGGATAGGCACATGGATGATAGTATAATGTAGGATATGCAGGGTAGTTTGATCTTTGTAGGATAATAGTTTGGCACACTGTCGTGAGCCGAAGGGCCTGTACTGTTCTATGTTCTATTTTACTTTCAGCAGAACTCTGATTCCGTAACTTATATTTGATTTTTTGAATTGATTGATTGAGTCTGATAACAGTGGAGAAGAAGCTGTTCCTGAACCTGCTGATACATGCGTTTGAGCTTTTGTATCTTCTACCAGACGGAAGAGGTTAGAAGAGATTACAGCTGGGGTGGGAGGGATCTTTGATGTTGGCTGCTTTTTCAAGGCAGTGAGAAGTGTAGATGGAGTCAATGGTTGGAATGTGTGATGGACTGGGATGTGTTCACAACTCTCTGTAGTTTTTTATGGTCCTGGGAAGAGCAGTTGCCATACCAAGCCATGGTGCATCCAGCTAGAATGCTTTCTATGGTGCATCTATAAAAGTTGGTGAGAGTCCTTATGGACAAGCCTAATTTCCTTAGTCTTCTTGATCGTCGCATCAACATGGGTGGTCCAGGATAGATTGTTGGTGATCGTCACTCCCAGGGACTTGATGCTCTCAACCATTTCCACTTCAGCTCCATTGATGTAGATAGGGGCGTGCTTTCCTCCTTGCTTCCTGAAGTTGATGATCAGCTCTTCAGTTTTATTGATGTTAAAGAAGAGATTATTATCTTTACTCACGCTACCAAGCACTCTATCTCTATCCTGCGTTCTGAGATATCCAGCCTACAACGGTGGTGTCGTCAGAGAACGTTGGAGTTCAGACAAAATTTGACCACAGTCACAAGTGTACAGGGAGTACAGTAAGGGCCTGAGTATGCAGCCTTGAGGTGCACTGGTGTTGAAGATTGTCGTGGAGGATATGCTGTTGCCTATCCCCTCAGTGATTGCAGTGTGTGGGTCAGGAAGTTGAGGATCCAGTTGCAGATGTCAGAGCAGAGACCTAGGTCTCAGAGCTTGGAGATTAGTTTGGTTGGGATTATAGTGTTGAAGGTGGCGCTGTGGTCAATAAGTAATAGCCTGACGTAAGTATCCTTATCATTCAGATATTCCGGGGATCAGCATAGGGCTAGGGAGATTGTGACTGCACTGGTAGGTGAATTGCAAGGGATCAAGGCACGCTGGGAGGCTAGAGTTGATATGAATCATGACTAACCTCTTGACGCACTTCATAATAATAGAGGTCAGAGCCACCTGGCAGTAGTCATTGAGGCATGTTGCATGTGTTTTCTTTGGTACTGGAATGATGGTCTTCTTGAAGAAGGTGGGGACTTCAGATCATAGTAAGGAGAGGTTAAAGATGTCAGCGAATACTCCTGCCAGCTGATCCACACATGATCTGAGTGCATGACCAGGGACTCCATCTGAGCCAGTCGCTTTCCGTGGGTTCAGTCTCAAGAAGGCCAATCTGAAATCTGCAGCACTGACTGAGAATATAGGTGCATCCATGGCTGTCAGGGCAGGTGACACTATTTTGCTGACTTGCTGTTTGAACTGAGCATAAAATGCTTTGAGCGCCTTGGGGAGGAATGTATTTTTGTCCACTATTCTGTTCTGCTTCACTGTGTAGCCTGTTATGTCATGTAGGCCTTGCCACAGAAGGTAGGTGTCTGTGTAGTTAGTTTGGGTCTCTAACTTAGTCTGGTATTGCCTCTTGGCATCTCTGATGGCCTTATGGAGGTCATATCTGGATTTCCTTTAACATTCAGGTCGTCTGACCTGAACGTTGCACACCTGGTCTTCAGTAGGCAATGGATTTCCTGGTTCATCCAAGGTTTCCAGTTGGGGAACATATGGATTGACTTCTTTGTTACGCAGTCCTCTATACACTTGCTAATGAAGTCCATAATGGTGGGCAGGTAATTGCACTTTGTCTAAACTTCCTTGCTGCATTACAAGATTAGAGATAGATCATTCATTGCGCAAGTTCAACATTTCAACATCTAATATTGTATGATGAATATGGGTTAGTTTTAAAACCGAAAGAACTGTGGATGCTGCACATCAGGAACAAAAACAAAGTTGCTGGAAAAGCTCAGCAGGTGTGGCAGCATCTGTGAAGAAAAAAAATCAGAATTAATGTTTCGGGGCTGGTGACCCTTCCTCAGAACTGATGGTAGCTGGGAAAAAGTCATTTTATATGCAGAAAATTGGCGGGGGGTTGGTGGGGTGGGGAAGCGATAGGTTAGAACCTAAAGAGAGAGAAGAACAGTGGGACAGACAAAGGAGTTGATAACGATCAGGCCGGGAGGGCGAAAAGTTGTTAATGGG